TTTCAGTACTGCATCTGTAATGTCTCTTAATTCACTTTTATTGATAACTAAGTCCTTCCATGCTTGAAACACATCTTTCTGGAGCAAGTTTCTAAATCTCTGCTGACAACTGAATATATATTCTGTCCCACAATTAATTAGAATTTCTTTATTGGCATATGTACTAAATAACATTTGCCATTTACCCAGTAATGTATCAAGTCTGAGAATCCAGGGTAAGTTTTGATGTTTTGATAAAAGACTTTACTTTACATTAATCATTATAAGCCCCCCCACTCCTCCCTCCCCCACCTCTCCATCCAGATAGCCTTTAGTTATAATCTCGCTATTCATTTTATCTAACTTACAACTCCATATAAGAAATTATATAGTTCAGATTTTAACTTTTAATGAAAGCATCATCTGAATTTGTGAGGGATATAATTAGATAATTAGAATGTAATATTAGTAAAATTTTAACTACATTGATTTTTTCAGTTGGAGTTAAAATTCTTCTACTCCAAGTCTTATAAATGATTTCTGCTTCAACAAGTTTTTGTCATAATTCATTTTACATATTTGGTGTAAATCAACATGAAATTCTAGAGCGAGAAGTAAAAATACATTGTTTCCCTGCTGCAAGTTACATGTTACATGTTGTACAAGCAAATTATAAATATATAGACTTTATTTCTAAATACATAAACTTTTACTTTGTGATGTTCTTTCAAATAATGCACTAACACACAAACCGAATGAATGATCTTTTTTATAAGATAATTTATTTTATCATACTTTCAAACACTCTAAGTTTATGATATTCTTGAGTTGGTTTGATGACACTGATAATCTTACCAGAAACGAAACCGAAAGTACATAAATTGAAACAATGTCAATTTGTTCAGTTTTTAATAGTTAAATGTTGTGTTTACTTACAGAAGATATACTCACTTTTAATCATAGTTGATCCTGCTGTCCTCGTGTCATCCTAGTGTTATATTGGGTAAATACTGTTGTTTCTGTCCTTGGATTAGACGGGCTGTCCCAGTCAGTCCACCACGCAAGATACAGCACGGAAAAACGCGAGCAGAATCACGAGGTCTTTAACCAATGAAAGTCATGTGTGCGGTCACTTTTGACCAATCAGCGTACATGTTGTTAACTCGGGGGTTTCTCGGTAAACTAGTGTTCGACGCTCAGCTAGCACCCAATTTTTTTATTATTTTTTTCTTGTTTTTAATATCATAGGTTACAAATACCAAACCAAACACCAAAGACAGCAAGTGGCTTTCTCCATAGGTTATACCAATATCAATTAACCTGCGGCTGTTAGGCGTTACATCGTCCAAATGTTTGTTCAGTAGTCGATGTAATAGCTGCATTTTTTTTTTTTTTTTTTTTACTTTTTTTTTAAAATGGGCCTATAGATATTTCTATACTATCATTTTATTTTTTAAAGTTTGAAATTTTTTGACAACCCTGAAAGCTGTTTCTCTCTGATAAATACAGTGTACATAGGTAAGCTGATTTATAACCATTTAACCGTTGTTTATACACCTTAGTTCTATCTGTTCGTGTTAGGTAGATTTTACCTGTGAAATTACACGAAATTACGCGCAGTTGGCAATTAACTCTGAAAGTGCTCGTAAAAGATAGATATACGAGATTGTAGAATGAAACTAGAAATACAAAATATATCAATGTAAATGTTTGATCGACTATTGCAGATATTTCGGCTAATCTTTACACAATAATATCTGTGACGCACCCAGTCGGACAACAGTCGGTATTATTGACTGGAGTTGTCAAGTATACAATAATGCATGTCTGAACGATCTCCTTTTTTCAGCAGCCTAAGTTCATAGTATAATATTAGTAAACTCTGTTGGTCAAGATTTGCCGTGAATCAAAGCATGTCTTACTTGGTTCGGACAACAAGATATCATCTCTAAATACCAACTACATCAAGTCTTCTGCTCATTTTTATGCTGTACTGCATGTGGTTGCTCCATGTACGGATCACGGATTCAAGTTACATTTTTTAAACATCCTGTAATCGACAAACAAGCATAAACATTATTCATCACCAAAATATGGCCTCTTACAAAAGTGGTTTTATTCCATTGAAAATATTTAACTTACAGCCCTCGGTGACCAAAGCCGACGAACCTCCCGATGTGCACAGGAAATGTCAAACATACACAAACATAACAAAAAATTCTACAGTAAATCGATTAAAACGGCTATTTGAAATGAATTCACCGTTAAAAAGTGGGTTATGTCCAAAATGAAATTATAGTTGTACATCGCAGTGCTACCAGGAAAATACGAATTTCAAAATTGAAATGTCATATTTTTCTCCCACTAGTGAAATTGTGTCGAAGTGTTTGATATACCTCTGCAGTGTTCAGCCATTGATATGGGCGCGATGCCGGATACTGATAGAAGCTTCTATCACAACAAGTAATATATTTGTGTGTGTCATATGTCTATGGCTACTGTCACCTTCATTACACGACCGACCAATGAGAACCATATAATCACTGCCGTAGAGTGTACAAAATGGCTACGAATAGACAGGATTTTGTAACCATGATATCGACGGACAGTTGCTCGGATTTCTATCGCTAAAATATACCAGGACCACTGTCGAACGTGGTGATATTCTTAATGTACATTAGGTCGACTGAGCTACCCCGATCTCGCTCGGGCTAAAATCCTGTAACATCCTAACATTGGCTAATGCCTTGGTTAGGATTATGTTACAGGATCTCAGCCCTCGATTAAGCTACCCCGATCTCGCTCAGGCTAAAATCCTATAACATCCTAACATTGGCTAATGCCTTGGTTAAGATTATGTTACAGGATCTTAGCCCTCGACTAAGCTACCCCAATCTCGCTCAGGCTAAAATCCAGTAACATCCTAACATTGGCTAATGCCTCATTAGGATTGTTACAGGATCTCAGCCCTCGACTGAGCTACCTCGATCTCACTCGGGCTAAAATCCTGTAATCCTAACATTGGCTAATGTCATGGTTGTGATCGCGTTACAGGATATAAGTCCTTGACTGAGCTACCCTGATCACACTCGGGCTAAGATCCTGTAACATCCTAACCTCAGCTAACACCTTGTTTGGGATTGTGTTACAGGATCTTAGTCCTCGACTGAGCTACCCCGATCTCGCTCAGGCTAAAATCCTGTAACATCCTAACATTGGCTAATGCCTTGGTTAGGATTATGTTACAGGATCTCAGCCCTCGACTAAGCTACCCCGATCTCGCTCGGGCTAAAATCCTATAACATCGGCTAATGCCTTGGTTAAGATTATGTTACAGGATCTCAGCCCTCGACTGAGCTACCTCGATCTCGCTCGGGCTAAAATCCTGTAACATCCTAACATTGGCTAATGCCTTGGTTAGGATTATGTTACAGGATCTCAGCCCTCGACTAAGCTACCCCAATCTCGCTCGGGCTAAAATCCTGTAATCCTAACATTGGCTAATGTCTTGGCTGTGATCGCGTTACAGGATATAAGCCCTCGACTGAGCTACCCCAATCTCGCTCGGGCTAAAATCCTATAAAATCGGCTAATGCCTTGGTTAAGATTATGTTACAGGATCTCAGCCCTCGACTGAGCTACCTCGATCTCGCTCGGGCTAAAATCCTGTAATCCTAACATTGGCTAATGTCTTGGCTGTGATCGCGTTACAGGATATAAGCCCTCGACTGAGCTACCCTGATCACGCTCAGGCTAAGATCCTGTAACATCCTAACCTCAGCTAACACTTTGTTTGGGATTGTGTTACAGGATCTTAGCCCTCGACTGAGATACCCCAAGCTGCTCAGGTACAGATATCAGATCTTATTAATCAAGCATTAGCTTTGGGACGAAACAAACTAAATTCTGTCAATGATCATATATGCAACGCGTTTGAAGAAAATATTGCATAGTTTGTAATAACAAAATAGCCTGTTATAAATCTGTTTAAATACTAGGGTATCTCAGTCTCGGGCTAAGATCATGTGACATCCTAACCTCAGATAACACCTCGGTTCGGATTATTTTACAAGATCTTAGCCCTCGCCCAAGATATCCCGATCTCACTCAGTTACAAGTAACAGATTTTATTAATCTATGTGTGGAAACACCAATCAACCTCTTCTCACTTTATTCTCTCACCATTTTAGTGTACATAAATATATTAGTGTCCACTCATTCAGCCATACTTTGGAGCGAATACAACTCGCCTCAGCCATTTGTCTGAAGGTGACAGTATAATCCTCAAAACGTCATACGACTTCTTATCGGTCGAGAGTTTGTCACCCTGTAGGAAATGTTTCATGGTAACAGAACAAGAATTATCCACTTCCTTTAATTTTAATGTACCCTAAAATCTGCATTGTTTCAAATGACACCATATCAGGAGTCTTGATGCCAAACATCATTTGATCTCTGGTCTTTTGCCTTCTACCGTTTTTGCTTAAATTCGTTTGAAATCAAAATTTTAATCCAAGAAATAAATTTCATGATCAAAATCAAACTGAAGTAAATTTCCCCCTCCCCAAAGGGGAAATGCAAGATCCTTGGGTCATGAAATTTACAATTTTGGTAGAACATCTTCATGCCTTTCAATCCAAGAAGAGTATTTGATTCAATACAACCTGGGATTTGCCCCTGGGGATTGGGGCCCATATAATTTACAATTTTTGCACACCATTAGCCATGGAATTTTTTTCAAAAAGTTTCCAGAATTCCAAACAGTTAAAAATTTTACCATGCATGACACCGTACTAAAAGGGATTGCAATAGGTCATCCCAAGACTTTGTCAGATGGTGGGCTAAAAATGTGTACAAATACCAATGTTTTGCTGTATTCTATCCTTTTTGCATCTGAGCATCACTATTTTCATCTTTTTTTGGTTTTCAATCATGATTTTGTTTTTCCTTTTTTCAAAGGTGTTATACAATTAATAAAGAGCAGCAACCTATGAATGAGAATAAAATATACAACACTTCCATGTCCTCCTATCCTTTTATTTCCAGCTTTTACAAATAATTTATGAAGTTTCCATAATTGATTCTTCTGTATGTTTGCCCTTGTCTGCCACCTGTCTTGATCGGGCCTTGCGTTCAAGGATTCTTTTCCTATCTTTGTCAATTTTCAACTTCACAATAAGGATCTGAAAATAGAAATGATTTGTCAAAGTTTAGATGTATAGCAAATATATTAAGCAGCCAATATCATCAAGACATGGAAACCATTGAAAAGTGAATTATTCAAAATAAGTGATTTCTGATTAATTTGAATATATGAAGCCTGTTGATAAGTTGATGAAGGTAACAATAACATGGAAAAATTTTGATGAGTACAGAGTGTATTAATGAAAACAAGAGGCCTATCGGCTTCAACAGAAAAAATTTGAACAATATAGTGTGTATTAATGTTGTATCCATGTATTGCAGTATTGTTTTTAGCAATAACATTATAAGAATCACAAAAATAAACTGTAAATTGATAACAGATTTGATGGAACTTTCCATCACAAATGATGCCCTGAAGTTGCCAAATATATGTGCATTAAAAACCTGTTTCTATAAACATGGTATCCTGCATGAAGTGGTACCAAAAAGTAATTACACACGGTACAAAAGGAGGAGCTATCAAATAGCTCTACTATAAATTGCCAATTATGATTGCAAGTTGTTACCGAGGCCACACTGGACATCAATGTCAGACTCAATAGTAATGATAGCATCTAGCTGTAATTGTTGGTGTAAACAACATGTCTATTCAATTCTTAATATGTTTCTACCCTAATGTATCTTTGACATTGCTATTAGAAATTATTCATCATTAAGTTTCACCTTTTATCTATATATCTGACATTGCTATCAGAAATTACCCATCATGAAGTTTCACCTTTTATTTATATATTTAACATTGCTATCAGAAATTACTCATCATTAAGTTTCACATTTTATCTTTATGTAAGAAAAAATACAATTTTTTCCTTTGAATTCCAGATATGATTTTGTTTCTTACACAAACTGTAAATTCCTATTTGATAAATAATACCAATTTCATACATAAAAAGTTACATATTTCAATCTTCATGTATATATATTCAAACTCTCCAGCTCTATTTTTTGATGATCAATAAGAAGTTTGTTAATCATTGGTTGAGATGTCAGGTATCCGAAATGGTACAGTAATTATTTCATCTTCAGGATGCGGTGCATAGGCAAATAGATGACAGGCAAGTGGAAATACACCCCCATAGGGAATTTGATGATATTCCCAAATACAATATAATGTCTACCTCTAAAATATACTTGAATAGCTTTCAGATCACAGCATTGTCTCAATGACAATATCATAGAACAGCTGTACTTTGAGCGGTAAGTTAATCAGGTCATTGATGGACCAGATTCCCAGAATCAAAGTGATTTATCTCCCCTTTGTTGCAAAATGAACATGGATCAAATATAAATCCAGGATCATGTTTCAAGGGATTGACTATGTTTTTCAAAAAACTGAAGTATGTTGAATGTTTGTTGACATCCCTGGTAAAATCACTATCGTCATTATTGAAATCCTTCTGAAAGTATTAGAAAACCAGTAACTTAATATGACCGTAAAAAACCTGTTTCAATTTTTTTTTCATGCAAAATTTGAAAATCATTTTCATAGAAATTAGTTGGGTCATTCATAGATCCCACTCTCAATCAAGATAACACGCGACATCAGACCTAAAATAGAATATCAAAATGGATTTCCACTATCCTGCAAAACGTAAACAGGGTAGGTCTGTCAGGCAATCTTTTTATTTCATATTTTTAGAAGCTTTGTAAATATATAGACATAAAGATAAAGAGAAATCTAGATTTAAATAATTACAAAATTAAGGGAAGAAATCTCAAGTTTAAATAGTCCTTCCATAAATATTGTCAAAAACTGTACAGTCGACACAAAAAATATGGAGTCATTTGGGATAGTATAGGGCTCTTGATCTGCCAGATTTTGGGCCGATATTCGGCTCCATTCCCAATGCAAAATAGTATCTTTTTTTCCCAATTTAGACCCCAAGTTTTCCCAATTCTAAGGAAAACACCATTATTTTTCCCAGTTGTTAGGGCCTCGGGCCCCAGTCCCAAAATGGGGTGCGAGAGCCCTGTAGTAAATAACATCTCGTCCTACTCTTAAGTTCACATATGAATTGTACTTTGAGCGGTAAGTTAATCAGGTCATTGATGGACCAGATTCCCAGAATCAAAGTGATTTATCTCCCCTTTGTTGCAAAATGAACATGGATCAAATGTAAATCCAGAATCATGTTTCAAGGGATTGACTATTTGTTTTTACAAAAACTGAAGTATGTTAAATGCAAAATTACTGAGGGTAATGATTGTTGATATAAATGGCAAAATCGCCATCGTCATTATTGAAATCCTTCTGAAAGTATTAGAAAACCAGTAACTTAATATGACCGTAAAAAACTTGTTTCAATTTCTTTTTCATGCAAATTTTGAAATTAATTTTTATAAAAAATATTCGGGTCATTCATAGATCCCACTCTCAATCAAGATAACAAGAATGACATCAGACCTAAAATAGAATATCAAAATGGATTTCCACTATCCTGCAAAATGTAAACAGGGTAGGTCTGTCAGGCAATCTTTTTATTTCATAATTTTAGAAGCTTTGTAAATATATAGACATAAAGATAAAGAGGAATCTAGCTTTAAATAATTACAAAATTAACTGAAGAAATCTCAAGTCCTTCCATGAATATTGTCAAAAACTGTACAGTCAACACAAAAATAACTAATCAAGTCACTTGGGATAGTTATTAACATCTGGTCCTACACTCTAGTTCACATATCAATTGTACTTTGAGCGGTAAGTTAATCAAGTCATTGATGGACCAGATTCCCAGTATCAAAGTGATTTATCTCCCCTTTGTTGGAAAATGGCCATAGATAAAAACAAGTCTATGATCATGTTAGGAAGGGTTTTTGTATTAATTTTTCATACTAATATACACCGATTCTTCTTTTCTAAACTGATTGATTTGAGGTTTCAGACAGATTTGATAAAGAATGTAGGTGTGATATGTATAAGATTTACTGAGGACTCATCAGCTGCAGATGGTACCTTTGAAGGGTGGATTCCGACATGGACAGAGGCACCATTGGCCTTTTCCCGCTGGATTCTTTCAATGTGTACAACAAACTTCTTTCTGTACACCTGGACGATCTTGCCGAGCTGCTGGCTTTTGTGATTGCCACGGACAACCTACAGTAAACCCAAAAAATGATCATTGTCAATTGTTTTAACATCCATCCATTGCAAGTTAACCTAATCCCATTGAGTTTCAAACATCTGTTAATCAGTATCAACAAGATCATGTACAAGTTTGATGATAAACAAGAGATATAGCAGCCTTGACAATCACCGGATATAAGCAATATTGAGTATAAAGTTTAAAGGGAACTGTATAAATACATTTTCAGTTCATTATAGACCTGGGAAGTTTTCTGCAAAATTTCACTGAAATCAGATCAGGGGTTTCTAACAAGTCGAAAAAGTTGCAATTGTTTACAGACGAAATATGCTCTATGAAGGCGATTGGTATAGGTCACAAGGTGACCTAATAATTACCTATGATGTAACTAATGCAATAGTGGATTTTGATTTTATTCCCAAAAGCAGACCATGTTCTCAATTTTTAATATTCAATATTTACTTTTGAAATACTAGTGGACAAAAATGTTGCTATTTTCAGAGAGCAGTCAACATTATCATCCCATGTAAATGTTAACATTGCAACTGTAGCTACAAAATGAATATAAAAACATTTCCATATCAACTTTAATTAACCAGAACTGAAATAATACTTGCCCAAAAATAAATTGCCTCGGACAAAAACAATTGCTCAAAAGTAGTACTGTAGTGTACTATAAAGTTTCCCTTGGCTTTCACAACTAGGTTTTTTTTACAACTTGAATGATTACAAAAATCTTCCTACAAAAGCATAACATGGATCCAACCAAAGTGCTTTATCCTCTTAACAATGAATTAGTTGTAACAACAAAGCCATGCCAACCTGCACTTCATCATCTTTTCTGATAGGCATACTTCTGACATTGTATTTCTGACGAAGTTCCTTAGATAATGGAGAGCTCATGATCCTTCTCCTGACATGAGAAGGAGCATTAAAATAACGCTTCCTGTTCTTCCTCCTGGAGGAGGACACCATCTTGTTAAACTTCATTCTGGGCCCTGCAACAACAATGTTACTTTTTGAAAAGATTCAGCAGAACAAATTTGCTACAACACATCATAGTAAGTGGAATGGTAATCTTGGTAATTAATAGTCAGACAGCGCGATGAATATTGTATGATGTACTGATCATTCTGGGCCCTACAACAACAATGTTACTTTTTAAAAAGATTCAGCAGAACAAATTTGCTACAACACATCATAGTAAGTGGAATGTTAATCTTGGTAATTAATAGTCAGACAGCGCGATGAATATTGTATGATGTACTGATCATAAAATAAGCCTGATCATATATTGATTCTCCAATTATATACTATACCCTCAAAAAATCTAAGCTAAAATCTCCAAATCAGGTGTTGTAAATTTCCAAATCAGATGGAGCATTTTTTAAGATGTAACTGATGTTCAATTTGACACCTGCAAAGTGAACTTGCAAAATTTTCAGATTCAACAGATAGCCAAAATATTTTAACCACATGAAAATAGTTTCCCACAAAAACAAATATCCCTTTATTTGTTCCATAGACGATATAAGATATCATTATTTACAATAGCAGTACAGAGTGTAAGCAGCCTATGACAAACACACTAAATACTAATCTTTTACTTGAAGAGTTACACCAAACCATCATGCGATTCCTGCTATGCAAGAAGTCAACATGTAGAATAGCAGATTCTTTTTAACAGGGTTGTAGGATCCACAACCGCCATCGCGCAATTATGATTATCAATTGACAATCATGAAATGTACCTGTGAGCGTTGCTCATCACGATGCTCATTATTCGAAGAGTTGTTTGAAATGTAATCATACATTGCTATTTTTTGTTTTGTTTAAATAGGTTCGAACGGGGTTTTTCAAAATCAAGACACTGTCGCCTTGTCAATAGTAATGTTTACAAGTGTCTTTGAGACATTGTTTCAGGCATGTGAATACTCTAACATATAGATACTCGTAGGTGAATATATTGACTACGTATTTCATCAGCAGAGTATATGTTTGGATGCGGTTACATAGCGGATTAGAGTAGATTTTCTTGCTGGATCTTTAATGCACACCTGGAGGTTGATGGCCGACCGGAAAAAGAAAGATACGCTTCCTGTAGGGGAGGCAACTCGAAATTAAAACCATCCCCAAAAGAGGAAAATATATGATCACAATAATAATGATAATTAAAAACACTTTTATTTTATTCATTTTACAACGATCATGTTGTGTTCATAACATCCTTTTATGAATACTTTGCATGTAAATTAAGAGGAAGAAGAACACATCGATATGGAAAGAATTGGCATTTAAACAAATTCAATGATATAAGCGACATAAACGGAAGAGATGGCAGAACGTTCTGTTTATCTTAAAGTGATTCCGATATTTTTTATACAGATATGTTATGTTTTGGGGTGAGTTTCAGTAATAGTTGACTTATAAACGCATGAAAGATTCACAAAACGTAACTGTCATTACATATACTGTCTTTATAAGAAGTGTATTAAGTGTTAGCAGCTGGTGCCTGACTCGATGCTCACTGAAAAGTGATATCCGGCTTCTTCTGACATTGCAATAAATATGAATCTTCTTGTGTTAGGCCTACTTAACACAACATGTGAACTCCTTATTAACTGTTCACGTTTTTACATCATCTTATATTTTGACAGTGAATGAAAATTTGATGTCGCTATTTCTAACAAAATTTACTTGTTAATTACTTGGTACATGTAACTTAAGCTTGAAGACAGGAAAGTGATTTTATTTATAAGTCAATAAACAGAGAATAGTTTTTTTCTGAGACAACTTTGTGAAATTAAACATCTGAATGGTATACCATAGTTACCGAAAAATGCACTGATTAGTAAATGTGTGGCTATCTTAAATTTTGCCAATGAAAGTTTATAGTTATTTGAGAAGTGCCTTACATATGAATTGTTCTAAACATTTCTTCAGTGGTTCCCTTGGAAATTTTAGCTTTACAACATTTTATTGCTTTGACACAACTGCAAGTTAGTTGGAAATTATTGTATTTATCTTTTGATGAATGTTTGCAGGAGTCCCTAGTATTTTGTGATTTTACATAAGGAGGAATTCTGACTATCCTCTGTGACAAAGACAAAAATGAAATTGTGGATAGATCATCAAAACTGCTGGACAGACCAAAATAACACAGACCATACAAAAGCGAAGAGAAAAATTTGTGTTGAATTATTTATATGCTGAGATCAACGATGAAAGGAAATGTTAAGTCTAAATGATGGATTGTATGGTTACATCATTATAGTATATATAACATTAACATAAAATTATTTGATACACTAACTATGTATCCATTTAACCTAGTTGTGTTTGCTTGGTTTAGGATTCCAATTGTCATTCAATGGTTGGTTTGTAGGTCGAGGACCAGGAAATGTCAATGATTGGTTTGTAGGTCAAGGACCAGGAAATGTCAATGATTGGTTTGTAGGTCAAGGACCAGGACATGTCAATGATTGGTTTGTAGGTCAAGGACCAGGAAATGTCAATGATTGGTTTGTAGGTCAAGGACCAGGAAATGTCAATGATTGGTTTGTAGGTCATTGACTAGGAAATGCCTTAGGATTAATAGTTATTCCTCATGAATTTCTGTATTTTTGTTCTCACTTTGTATGCAGTGAAGAACACTTAAAGTTTCACTGTGAAGCTCTTTCCCAACGATGGTCCTTTTAGGTCAAAAGTTAACAGAATTAAACAGTAAGAGCTGTGCCTGCACGATACATACTACGTATGTAGAGATGGTTTTAAAAGACGGTGACTATGCTATGTAGAAAATGAGACCTTGAGTTGATTTTGCTGTCAGTGTGACTATGTTTTAATTACTGGTATTTTTCGCATTGTTGTACAGTACTGGAGTAACTGACCCACCCAAAACTACAAGTGATGTTTACTGCTGGCATAATTCGGATAACTCACAAGGCATGAACCAGTCATGCGTAACTGGTAAATCACATCCTCCCAACATGGTGTCAAGTACCTCAACAAACGAAACAGAGGCAAAGGTATCCAATTCTACAGTAACTCCTGTCTCTGTGAATCCACCAGTTATGCGATGCGTCACCTACACCAATGATACAACACTACGCTTTCGCCCATCTATAGTGGCGACTTCCCTGGATACATGGCGATCATGTGATTTTGATGGAATCTGTAATGACAAACCACTAAATCAAACCATTTCGGTAGGTGATTCTTGGTACATTATATGTTTTTTTGTTTTGTTTGTCATTCAATCTTGCATCTGTTTTTTCATCTGAACACCTCCTCACATCCACATACCAGGTAGTCTATTTTGTCAAAGTAATTCTTATTGGTTAATCTTCTATTAGCTTTTTCTGTCCCCACTGTTTTATATGGGGGCATGCTTAGTGTTACATATGTAATCGTGATGGTCTTGTATTGAAATGACGACAAGGTCATGGGGGTTAAGTACGATATTTATTCCAACATTATCAGGACATCTTAAAAAGCTCTGTAACAAATAATATAAAACAGACTTAACTACACATTCAAGCTAACCATACTTTCTTAACTTTCACACACAGAGGGAAATAACTCTCACAGTGTTAATAAAATCATTTTTTATCAATCATATACTATTATGATTTACAAATGAGACGTTTACAATGATTATTATAGACTTTTATATTGATACTATTTATATTGATCAAATAAATATATAGATAAATGCAAAGATGCATTTATCTTTACAAGTTATATTGAGTTAAAAGTTAAAATATAATCATACATATACAGAAATACAGATATATACCAGGATAATGGCTCAAAGCCCATGTCCTGAAACTGACCATGGAGCTACAACAAATCCATGAGACGGTCTCGTTCAATATATATATATATATCAATATATTTTCAAGCTTATTGAACACGTCCAGTCTGATCAATCGAATGCTTCAGTCTGACAATACAAAAGCCTGAACAAAGAAATATCCCGTCAAATTGCCCAATAAAACAACCAATGAAACAACAGGAACTATGTGACATAACACCACAAAGACTGACCACTTGGACATTACAATTACTGGTACAATACAGACGAAACGAAACAGCACTAAATACAGATACATAACTATTTTATACAGACGATACTAATTCTGGCAATCTGTGTTACAGACGCAACAATTCAATACTCTGGACGATTGGAGAATAATATTAAAATAATGCCAAAAACACAATTATACATATTTAATGAAACAACTTAAAAATACACGAAATAATGTCCCTGCTACACATACCTGTCTCTTCACATCATAGCACATCACATTGCCTCTTGAATCTGATGTCATTGCTCTTATAAAATAGGATTGCTAAAAAAACATTATACTAAAAATCAACTACGACAATACTGAGATGCCAATGTTAAAGCCACTGTTCTTATTTATAGAGAGTTATCAAACCATTCAAATCTTCCACTGAATTTCTCTTTATTTCTAAACATATTGGTAAATATAGCAAGCACAAGTACATGAGAAACTCCTGTGAAGAATTCCAGGTAAAAGTTAACAGTCAAAACATACTTCTCACAGAGAATCACTGACAACTAGTTCAATGACGTCACTTTATTTTAATCAAGCATTATTATTGGAATACATGTAAATGAACCTTAAATTAACTCTTGCTTTATTGTTCCAAGGTCATGGTCTGTTACTTCTTACAGAAATGTTTGCAATGTTCCAAGTAGTGTGGGAGAGGAGGAATTCAAGTGAGGGACATATTTATTGGGTAGATCAGTTTTTCAAATTCCTGTGTACTTCTCTGAATAAACTTGCTAAAATGTTGTTCTTTATTTACATACAGTTGAGTCTTGATTGTTTAATGTTTCAGACTGTAAATTGATTTGTTATGTTTCCTACTATGAACTTACATGGTTATAATGTTCCAAGTTGTGAATTTCAGCTGTTATGTTTGAGGCTATGAACTTACATGGTTATAATGTTCCAAGTTGTGAATTTCAGCTGTTATGTTTGAGGCTATGAATTTGCATGGTTGTAATGTTCCAAGTTGTGAATTTCAGCTGTTATGTTTGAGGCTATGAACTTACATGGTTATAATGTTCCAAGTTGTGAGTTTCAACAGTTCTGTTTGAGGCTATGAATTTGCATGGTTGTAATGTTCCAAGTTGTGAATTTCAGCTGTTATGTTTGAGGCTATGAATTTGCATGGTTATAATGTTCCAAGTTGTGAATTTCAGCTGTTATGTTTGAGGCTATGAACTTACATGGTTATAATGTTCCAAGTTGTGAGTTTCAACAGTTCTGTTTTAGGCTATGAATTTGCATGGTTATAATGTTCCAAGTTGTGAATTTCAGCTGTTATGTTTGAGGCTATGAATTTGCATGGTTATAATGTTCCAAGTTGTGAATTTCAGCTGTTATGTTTGAGGCTATGAATTTGCATGGTTATAATGTTCCAAGTTGTGAATTTCAGCTGTTATGTTTGAGGCTATGAATTTGCATGGTTATAATGTTCCAAGTTGTGAATTTCAACAGTTCTGTTTTAGGCTATGAATTTGCATGGTTATAATGTTCCAAGTTGTGAATTTCAGCTGTTATGTTTGAGGCTATGAATTTGCATGGTTGTAATGTTCCAAGTTGTGAATTTCAGCTGTTATGTTTGAGGCTATGAACTTACATGGTTATAATGTTCCAAGTTGTGAGTTTCAACAGTTCTGTTTGAGGCTATGAATTTGCATGGTTGTAATGTTCCAAGTTGTGAATTTCAGCTGTTATGTTTGAGGCTATGAATTTGCATGGTTATAATGTTCCAAGTTGTGAATTTCAGCTGTTATGTTTGAGGCTATGAATTTGCATGGTTATAATGTTCCAAGTTGTGAATTTCAACAGTTCTGTTTTAGGCTATGAATTTGCATGGTTATAATGTTCCAAGTTGTGAATTTCAGCTGTTATGTTTGAGGCTATGAATTTGCATGGTTGTAATGTTCCAAGTTGTGAATTTCAGCTGTTATGTTTGAGGCTATGAACTTACATGGTTATAATGTTCCAAGTTGTGAGTTTCAACAGTTCTGTTTGAGGCTATGAATTTGCATGGTTGTAATGTTCCAAGTTGTGAATTTCAGCTGTTATGTTTGAGGCTATGAATTTGCATGGTTATAATGTTCCAAGTTGTGAATTTCAGCTGTTATGTTTGAGGCTATGAATTTGCATGGTTATAATGTTCCAAGTTGTGAATTTCAGCTGTTATGTTTGAGGCTATGAATTTGCATGGTTATAATGTTCCAAGTTGTGAATTTCAGCTGTTATGTTTGAGGCTATGAATTTGCATGGTTATAATGTTCCAAGTTGTGAATTTCAACAGTTCTGTTTTAGGCTATGAATTTGCATGGTTATAATGTTCCAAGTTGTGAATTTCAGCTGTTATGTTTGAGGCTATGAATTTGCATGGTTATAATGTTCCAAGTTGTGAATTTCAGCTGTTATGTTTGAGGCTATGAATTTGCATGGTTATAATGTTCCAAGTTGTGAATTTCAGCTGTTATGTTTGAGGCTATGAATTTGATACGTTATGTTTCTGGATGTCATTTGATTTGCTATATTTCAGGCTGTAATGTTATGGTTATGTTACATGCTGTAAATGATTGGGTAAGTTCCCCACCAGGAACTGGAGGAAACTATAGTTTGACATTTTGTAACCTTGGTGTGACAGTGTGTCGCATATCAAAAGTAGGTCACTGCTACCTACATTTTGACCTTTTGATGTACATCAAAGAAAAAGTTTGTCTCTAACTCCAACACTACTAGTCACAGAAACTTAAGGTTTCACCTTGGTGAAGCAATTTGTTTTGTATACAATGTAGGTCACTCTGATCTAATTTTGACCTTTTTATTGATCTACATCAAAGAAAACACTTGTTCTGGCTCTAACTCTAACACTACTAGTCGCAGAAACGTATGGTTTCACTTTTGTGAGGCGATTTGTTTTTATAAAATGTAGGTCACTCTGATCTAATTTTGACCTTGTTATTGACCCACATCAAAGAAAACACTTATCCTTGTTCTAACACCTACAGTACTAACCATAGAAGTCTCATACTTTGTATTGGTACTTGATGTATGGGTTCACCTTGAGGCGATGTGTCACAGTGGGGAATGCTGCTGTAATTTACCAAATTCATAATGTTTCAGGCTGTGAGTTTGCATGGTTATGTTTCAGGCTGTTATCAATGGAAGCAATGTATCACTATTCTGTTGTGAGGGTAACAACTGTAACAAACCTGTACCGGTCAGTAGTCCAACTCCAAACACCAACAAAAGTCACTGCTACCAGCTTACAATGGAGGGCAGCAACATGAGGTTAAAAGGTCAGAACTGATGTATCTTGTAGATATTAGTCAGTAACATAGACATAACATGGATCCTTATCATATGTCAGTGTTTTTTTGGTTTTCTTTTAAAATAAAAAAAAAAAAGATATTCTCTTTCAAAAAAGGGTGTTATTGTCCCAACACGAAGAACATAATAGCAAAAATCTATACCAATGAAGTTTATTCAGGTAAAATAACATATGCATGTTCATTTGCAAACAAGAAAATTTTCTTGAACACAGAAAAATATAATAAGTGTACCTCTGTACCACCATTTTAGAGTAAATCACTATACACTGATAAAGTAATAATCTAATGAGTTACTGCTGATTTTCAGGTTGTAAGGCAAAGTGTCCTGCTGAAGGAGTCCCTTGTATAAAGGACACCCTGTACTTGAAGAGCGGCATTGTGTCACAAATGTATAACTGTGACATTGACAACAGGTGCTCCAACATCACAAGTTCAGAACCAAACTGCAGTAATGTAAGTTCACCTCAACAATTACTGTTAAATCATGGTTAATTTTGTACAACCAAACTGTACAGAAAGGTAATTGTTTTATCATACTACCGAAATCAACATTTTAAAACATTAAGAATAGTCTGGACCACAAGTATTCATCAGAAAATTACATTCAACCAAACTGCAAAAATATGACTTCACAAAAACAATTAAATCATCCTTATTTTGTCCAACTTTAAAAGAAAGCTCCTGTTTTAAGCAATCACTCTACATTTATAAACAGTCAAACTTGTCATCTTTAGAGCTTCTTGGTTAACTCAATCTTGATGTGTTTTAGTTACATTTTTTACAATTTTCTTAATATTAATTGGATAAATATATGATTTTGTATTGAACAGTTCTCTACTGGTGCAAACAATACCCGTGAAGTGTGCTGCTGTAAGGGAGACTACTGTGTTAAACCAGACCAGTCATTTGATGAGCCAATTGAAAAAGATGCCAACAGTGCTTGCTCTGTTGTACCAATTAATAGTACAAACCACCATCCACCTGGTGGTACATCCCCTCAGAAGAAGGTGGACTGGCTGTTTGTGGGAGGCCTGATTGCTAGTGGGGTTGTTGCTATACTGCTGGCGCTATTGGTAGTCATTATAATAATGAAAATGAAGAGGCGGGCCAAACAGAATGACAGACTCACCTTGTCCTACACCAGGCTCGCAGCAGATAGAGTTCCTGATGATGATGAGGATGTACAGATGTTGCTATCCTAGAACAAATATCCTTAACCTCATTCATTAACACCAAGATTTCATACAGTACACACACATAAGTAGACTGTTGTCCTATACACACACATAAGTAGACTGTTGTCCTACACACACATAAGTAGACTGTTGTCCTATACACACACGTAAGTAGACTGTTGTCCTATACACACACATAAGTAGACTGTTGTCCTACACACACACACATAAGTAGACTGTTTTCCTACACACACATAAGTAGACTGTTGTCCTATACACAAACATAAGTAGACTGTTGTCCTATACACACACATAAGTAGACTGTTGTCCTACACACACACACATAAGTAGACTGTTTTCCTACACACACATAAGTAGACTGTTGTCCTATACACAAACATAAGTAGACTGTTGTCCTATACACACACATAAGTAGACTGTTGTCCTACACACACACATAAGTAGACTGTTGTCCTATACACACATAAGTAGACTGTTGTCCTATACACACACATAAGTATACTGTTGTCCTACACACACATAAGTAGACTGTTGTCCTACACACACATAAGTAGGCTGTTGTCCTACACACACATAAGTAGACTGTTGTCCTATACACACACATAAGTAGACTGTTGTCCTATACACACACATAAGTAGACTGTTGTCCTACACACACATAAGTAGACTGTTGTCCTACACACACACACATAAGTAGACTGTTGTCCTATACACACTTGCTGAATGCAGACTCTGGTCGTACATAGGGGTGCCATGGTATTAAAAGAAGTTGTCACAATATATTGCGATATTTTGTTGGTGTATCATAATAAAATCAAGATGTTTTTACATGGGAAGAAATGCATACAAAACAATACAAGACGATGTTAAAGGGACGCCTTTAAGGGCCATCAAATTACAAAGAATGTTCATACCTGGTAGTTGTAAGTTTAATACGCTGTAGTTCATTAGTCATGTTAGAATTTGTAGTTTGTTAATTTTAGTGAAAGTGGGACACAGCATAATCTCAAATTTGTAGTACCACTTCTGTCCTTGCCGATCTGGGAACAGGAATTTCACCAAATACAATGAACACGCTGCTTGAATTTCCAGAACATGTAGACTTTTCAGTTTCAACTTTTGTTTTATGTACCCATGGAAAGAATTGAAATTTTTGGAAAGGCGAATAACTTAACAAACAAGCAGAAACAACATGGGTATTGAAAAAAAAAGGTGAGTTGATTTTTGTATAGCAGTTATTGTGACAAGTAGAAACTGTGATTTACCAGTATACCGGTTTATCGTGGCACCCCTAGTCCTACACACCCTGACCTAAAGAAATATCTGGTCCTACACACAACAACATAAAATTAATTTTTTAACAAGGTGTAGATTCTGTAATTAATGTTGATATCTAAGAAGACCTACATTCAATGCAGGCATTTATGTACATTGTTTGATATTTCTTTTTATTATCATATATGATGACATTACTTTTAAGTGCTTCAGCCCACAGTCCTCTTGTATATAAACACATTTTTGTTCATTTACATTGTACATTATAAAGATTTAGCTGAAGATGGACATTTTCTTGTTCAGTTTTGTGAAATGTTTCAATTTGTTATTTCTTCAATAACCTCAAGATAACACAGCAAAGATATTAATTAAAAAACCCGCTTAATATTGTTTTAGAAAGTGTTACTGTACCATGATGCTGTCTCATCATGTATACTTCTGTTTTTGTTCTGTTCAGTATATACTTGTTATGATGTCAATTTTCTCTCAATTAAGCAGTACCACATTCCTTTTCTTTACATCCACATAGAACAGATTACCTCCCTTGTGCGATGTTTTCAACAATTGAAATATTTGGCTATATATTCCTTGATGTTTTATCAAATGATTTAGAGTTTTTTTATACACACATTATGAAAGATGTCTAACGTCTTTGTCCTTCATGTAAGAGGACATTTTTTTATGTTTGCTTTGTCACAGTTTGAACTTTTGCTTTAGAGCCAATCTATCCATTGTAAACAAGCCTTGTTACTATTTCTTTAGGTATTTGAGGGATATTTCTGAAACTTAATAGATGTTGCCCATGCAGACTGGTTACTGAAACCAAATGGTTGACATGTGGCACTCTTGCAATTTTCAGTTGAAGTTTGTTTTTTGCCATTACGTGATAGCACCAAATGGATCATTCTTAGACTTAGAAAATAGGTATCCTTCTGTCCCTAATGTCTGAATAGGGAAAAAATGGCCATCTTATATGTTTATGGTTGAAGTTTGTTGTGGCTATTTCTTGAGAAATACTGTAAAGATATTTCTCAATCTTAATGTGTAGGTTCCTTTTGGTCCCAAGTTGTACCTAATCCAATTTATGTCAAGAAAACAAAATGCCTGACTGAAAACCATCTTGGAATTTGACAGCTTTTTTTTTTCTTTTTCGTTGTTTCTCGGAAAGTTCCTGTAAGATCTTTCCTGGGTTTCATAAAGAAAAGTCTTGTATAGAACCAATGATTTAAAAGATCATTCAATGCTTAGGGCCAAGATCCTTCTTGGATTCTTGGATCTCTTAAAAGAAAATCATTTGGTTTGACCGCATGTGCTAGCTACATCTATTAATACGCCAATTGAAGTTTGACAATGACTCCTGTATAAAATTGATTTCTGAAAGTGATCATATAGCAAAATTAGAGCAAAATCAATGTCTTCATAGATGTGATAATAATAGCTGTTGCGTACATTTCATGTTTTGCTTTTGGTGTAGATTGGCCTCCATGATGATACCTGAATTAATTTGTTTACATAAGATAATTAAATGCGTTAGGGCCGCGCTCATTGTGGTTTCCTTATTACCAATGGATCAAAACACCAACTGTGGCAGCGTAGTAACCGGTAATCAATAATTATATTATATATACCTTTTTTTTTTTAAAAAAAAATTCTGATTCCAAAACGTACCTGCACACTATAACCGCAAATTTACGGTATCATATATACATAGTTAAATATAGATATATAAATGTAGATATTTTCATTCAAATATGTTATGTTGTAAATTGATGATGAAAATAATGACAAAGGAAACTCTTATGATGTTAGTTAAAATTCAGGCTTTAAAAACTGTTTAATATCTCAAGTTGATATTTCATACTGTGTTCTGTCTTTCCAAGTGTAATTATGCTAAGAGACAGGACTTGTTGGGGATATTTAGAAAAGTCACCCAAACTCACAGATGTTTGTACAATTTATAACTAAATCTATTTTTGCAACCTAAGTGCCATGTATTTGATATAATCTGACTTGTAAGTCTAGTCCAAAATCATAGGATCTGGTTCTGTCTGAAGCTTTCAGTCATCAACCTCTGTCCTAGATTATTCATCCTGAAAAACCGGTGTGAAATAGAGATGATTGAAATAAGATTCTGATGATACTGTAATAGATTAGGTGAATTTATTAGTAGTTGTAGAAAGGTAAACATTTAAAAAAATAGAATTATGAGGTAATTTCATGTAAAAAACACATAATGAAATAGGAAAAATGTTATAGGTAATACATGTGTAGATACATGCTGAAAGACTGTAGATGAAAATTGTATTATATAAAAGGAATGTTGGATACCTATGTACATAATATTGTCACATTTTGGAGCTTTACATGCATTAACAATTTTTTTTTTTTTATAAAAATAATGTAACTTATATCTCAATGTTTCATAAGTACTGTAAAGTTTCTTTTTCCATTGTAGAGATTTATGTGTTTTTCTAGATGTAATTTTAAGAGTAACAATTGATGTTATTTCTCTAGGGGAATTATGAAGCAAACCATACCTTCTTAAGTTACATGTATCATGGTACATTTTGTTGTTGTTGTTGTTGTGATGTTATTCTGTATCAAAATATTTTGTAATGTCATATCTTAAAAAAAAGGGAGAGACAGTTTTTTCCTGTTGGTATATAAATAAGTGGATATTAGACAAACACAAATATGTTCATGTCGATACTTTATTGATTGATGGATTACTGACAAATTGAAAATGAACATCCTACAAAGATTAATGATTTTATTAAAAGAAATCTTAAATCTAGAAAAAAAACCTGTACAATGTCACCATATTGAGATAGAGGTATGTACTGGAGTGGGCCGTGTTCCAATACTATATTCATTAGCACTGTAGATATCATTATCACCACCATTTGAGATAAGCAATATTCTAGATCTCTGTAAATGTTGTATGTATTTATATATAATTACATGTAGGCTGGAGATTAAAAAGTTATTTGTTTTACTTTGTAGTTACGTACACATTTAAACAGTTATCACCACAGTCTAATCTATTTCAGTGGAAGACAAAGATCTGTTTTTACGTTTCTATTAAACATGCTCAACTTTATTAAGAATGGTAATCATATTGACTGTTTCTGTTGTTTTATTATCTTGTTGTGGTACAAGAAATTGAAACTAAAAAAAGATTGGTGATTCCTTTCTTGGTATGAATATTACCTAACAAGGTATTGGGTTTGCCTTATTGTTTTTTTGACAAGTTAATAACTTTTTCTAAAGTCTGGTATCATGTGCTTGCCATTTAAGGCCATTGGTTTTCTTATAATTTACAGTTGAGGAGAATTTAACAAAAAATTTAAATCTTATATTTTGATAAACCAGTTTTGATCACAATTCAATCCTCACAATGTGTGTACTTATCAAATAGTCTAAACTATATATGAATAAACACACATTAGGTTTTTTATATGTTTTGATAACAGATGTTTACATGTTATTGCCTTTAGAAATTTGTAAATGAATGATAGTTGACAATTAAGGAATACGTTTTATCTTTGCTTTGATATTGTACCATAAAACAATGACCATTCATTTATTTTAGTTCAACGGATGAGGGTCCGTTTTCAGAATCTGTTACAATTCATAACAAGACAATGAAAGATCAGAATCAAGTGCCACAGATAAAGTACATAGACCTCATACAAAATATAGAATCAAGTGTCATAAATATCCATCTGTAGCTATTAAAACAAGTTATCAACAAATTGGTAGACAATTTCTGAAAACAAATATTCTTCACATTCAAATAAAAACAACCAGTTAAAACATTAAAAAGATAGTCAGGCCAAGGTATTAAAACTCATCAGTACTCAAAGCTTTGAACATTAAAAAGTCAGGATTATGTTCGAGGTATTAAAACTCATCAGTACTCAAAGCTTTGAACATTAAAAAGTCAGGATTATGTCCGAGGTATTAAAACTTGTCAGTGCTCAAACTTTGAACATTAAAAAGTCAGGATTATGTCTGAGGTATTAAAACTCATCAGTACTCAAAGCTTTTGTTTTTTTTTTAATGACATTAACATGGAGATAATAATGATGAATCTCTCAACCTTACAAACTGGTTATGGTTAATTTCTCTTGTAGGAAACTGCGAACACACAATTTCTTGATTAATTATGAGAAATAGAATATTTAAAAGTTTGAATTCAACACTTATAATTTTATGTAACAGACAGTTTCTGTGCAGACCAACACATATATCACGATATGATATTCCATCATTTCTGTAAAACTGAAACAAATCAATTTATAGTTATGCAATGAAAATCCGTCCGAGCATGTCATATTTTGCCCTGACATTTATTTTGTTTGATTGTTAACACACAAAAATTTACAAAGTAAATTGATTGACAATTTATTAGTGCATTCGTGTCAAAAATATAATGAATAATTTGGTACAAAGGGTGGCAAACTGATTTAAAAGTGATATTACCGTGTTATATTGTTGATTGGTATTTTAAGACTCGATGAAGAAGGTTATCATGACAGGTTAAAGTATATCTATTTAGTAAACCTTTGTTGATGAAGTATCATAGATAAGTTGAGTTTCAGGGAGGTAACTGTATGTGTCATTTGTTGAGATTCCCAGATGACCTATTGCAGGAGAGTAGGAGAGCACACAAAATTTGGAGAGCTGTGATAGCCATCAAATTTGCAGGCTTTTACAATTTACTATATGCTATCTGCCAGCTTTTTTTCTGTCAAAAGCTTTGCTGATGAAGTGTAAATATTTTTATTGATCAAATTTTTCTCTTGGTATCTGATATTATAATTTTTAAACCTGAACCTGTCGTCAAACTCAGAAAAAAATGATTTGTTGAAAATTTGGTAGAAGAAATTTGTATGTTCATTGTCTATTGCATTGGAATTATCATGGATAGTTGCTTATTTCAAAATATGAAACATTTTACTCATATGTCCTTTTAAAAGTATTGAATTTTAAGAAATCAGGAATCATTCTATTGACCTCCTCTACATTTCAACATTTGTTTTGTTCAATATTTCCAAGATGCTTTCAGGCTGATGTCATCTCTGACAAGGAAAGAACAGCTTTATGATGTAGTTTATTTAATAATCCAGCAGCCATTTTTTCATTCTCAATTTGTATAAAGATGACCTATTCACTTGATTGTTTGTTTTTATAGGCTTTGTATTTTGCTTGTTTGTTGTATTTAAATTTGTTAGTGTCATGATAACATCTCCATTAAATATTTGTCATAAAATATGTGGGGGAAAAAAAGAAGAAAATGAAGATTTCAGCAACATCTTGTGTACTAATATCATTAAATGTTGTATTACAGACAAGTGACCAACAGTGGAATAATTCTAACATAGTACCCCGGGATAAATCTGTACATAACCAATCACAATGCCAAGAATTCTGGGGAAATGTTGTGTTCTATATCACAGGGGTATACTCAGTTATCTTAATTATTGATTTTTTAACAGTTACAATTCAGCCTTGTGTACATAGTCATTTGATATCTCCATTTCAGTTACGTGATGCGTAAAAAACATACTCTGTCGATACAACATACATAAATATTGATTAAACATTTGTTTGTTAACATCAGATTACCTAAATCACACTCATGTTTTGATCTGTTTAACCGTTTATAGTACTAAAGGGAGTTAACTCTCTGAAGTCTAATGAATGATAACGTCCTTCTTTGTAATGTGTTTATTCAAGTACAGTGTATCTCTTGATGATGACCGAAGAGCAGAAAATCTCACTTGTATAAGTGTATGGTAAAGAATTGTTATTAGAAGGTTGATTGTTTGTATTCACTACATTGAAACTATTCCAATGTGATAACATCTTTGTTGAGAAAGTGTATCTCCATGTTTGATGGAAGAGTAATAAACATCAAATCAATAAACAGAAATTATTATATAAAAACACACAAGACAACAATTTAATATTTTGCATTATTACAAAATTTGATTTTAGAACTTTAAAGATAAACGGTTTAAAATGGAGTTGAAGTTTTCGTCTTAATTTTCCATAATTTATCTTAAGCGTAATTGATAAGTCATGAGCACCTCATTTTACATAATTATGTACAGTAAAAGTTACTGATGATCAGTGGAAATTTATGGAATATGAATTTTTTCTCACAGTTGTTGTCATACTCTTCCATTTTATTCATGAAATGTTTGTTTTTTTATGTTATATGTGACTATCACATGATTACCAGGTAGTTTGATGTTATTGGCTGTTTGAGAACATCACATGATTACCAGGTAGTTTGATGTTATTGGCTGTTTGAGAACATCACATGATTACCAGGTAGTTTGATGTTATTGGCTGTTTGAGAACATCACATGATTACCAGGTAGTTTGATGTTATTGGCTGTTTGAGAACATCACATGATTACCAGGTAGTTTGATGGTATTGGCTGTTTGAGAACATCACATGATTACCAGGCAGTTTGATGTTATTGGCTGTTTGAGAACATCACATGATTACCAGGTAGTTTGATGGTATTGGCTGTTTGAGAACATCACATGATAGGTTCAACATCATATAATATTGGTGTATTAGCTGGTTCCTTGTGATTTTGAGCTATTAGATAATATTTAGACTGTATACAAGGGTTCATTTGTAATGTATGCATTCCACTTTGTATATGGTTATATTGGGGTTATTTTCTAAAATTACTAAGTTTCATTTGTTAGTTGGAACCAGCTAAAATGTTCCTACAAAGTAATATAAAATATAAGTTACAAACAGAATAGAAATAGTACCATTCACTTTGAAATATTTTATCCTCAAAACTCCAGGGGTTAGCTGACAATCACTCTATGCACTCCTGGAATATTTCCTGGCAAAATTGAAGGCACAAGCAAATTAATTAGATTGGTTGAGAGTGGGTTTCAGGAGAAAAAACTGACCAAATTCAGCCTGATAAGCTCTTTTGAATATTACAAGATAAGGACACCCAGTATCAGTGAGAATAACATACTGTGTCACACATGGAACTTTTTCGTGAAATGTTCCAGAGGTGCCGAGAGCCAAAGTGATTTTAACCTGTGGAGTATGAGGATGAAATATTTTGTGAAATACACATTTTCACTTGAAGTGCCTTTCATTGCAATTGCTACACACATCACAGTTTGTAAGTAAGGTTGATTAATTTTGATGTTGTATATAGTTTAATATTTAGTCATGTTTATAAGGTTTCTTAAAATGCAATTTAAATAGATTTCCTACGTGTATGTCAGTAAAAGTAGCTATTAGGTCTCCAATCAAAAACCAATTTAGCCAATTTTAGGAACGACAAGAAAATCAAATTTCCCTATGAAGTCAAAAGTTTATAAAATTACATATAACTCACATGTGTGTTGATATGAGATGGAAATAGTAGATTACGTTGATATTGTTGGATGCTAAATCAAGCACTGTAGTATATATGTTTTACTAAACTCTTGGTAATCATGAGGCATTAGTTAATGTCTCTGTACTTATTGTGGCACAGTCTCTTACTTTTCAAATGTTTGTATTTTTCAGAAACTCACTGTTGATATGTATTGTGTTTGTGTTGTTTCCTCTACTTAGAGAAAATCTGCAAGAAATCCCAAATTTTGGAAGTTATAGTTAAAGAATGGATCATTTTCATGTTGTATGTCTTAATATGCTTCAAATAAAGACTGATAAATTTGAGCACACTGTCAAAGTATGTGTTATGGTAGAGTCTATGTCAGTGCAAAAAAGATCTACACAAACCAACACTCATTGTTAGCTCATCTGGCCTAGAGAGCTATGTGAACTTATGCCTTCCATCTGGTGCAATTTTTCAGCTTAGTTTTTCAGCTTAAACAACTTCTTTCAAATAACCAACAGACATAGAATCAAGATATTTTACTTGAAATTTCCATGGATGAAGATTTTAACTGCACATATATTGAAGATCACAAGGGGTAAAACCTTCAAATGACTTTCTTATTGATCTACAAAAATGCCTTGTGGAAAGAAGTGACATTCACTCATGTTCAAGGTCACAAGGATTAATTTTTTTGAAACACTTAAACAACTTCTTCTCAAAAACCGAATGACTTGGAGTCATGTTGTTTACTTGACATGTTACCAGTGTAAATACCATTAACATTTCCAAAAAACCCCCAGGAATGACCTTGACCTATCTTCAAGTTATCAAAGGTCAAATCTACTGAAAACTTTTGACATATTTTGCTGATTAACTGAAAGGCCTATAATCTTGATATTTTCAAGATGGATTCTTGTGATTTTCAAAAAGAAATTACCTTGACTGATATTCAAGGTAAAAGTGGTCAATTTGTGTTTAAACATTCAAAGTTTTGGAGATATTGTCAGCTCACCAGAGAATTGTCACAAGTGACCTATTGGAGATATTGTCAGCTCACCAGAGAAATGTCACAAGTGACCTATTGGAGATATTGTCAGCTCACCAGAGAAATGTTACAAGTGACCTATTGGAGATATTGTCAGCTCACCAGAGAATTGTCACAAGTGACCTATTGGAGATATTGTAAGCCCACCAGAGAATTGTCACAAGTGACCTATTGGAGATGTTGTCAGCTCACCAGAGAATTGTCACAAGTGGCCTAGTGTAATTGCAACACACACACACACTCTCCCCACACACTCCTCTCCACATACACACACACACTCCTCACCCCACACACGCACACACTCTCAACCTTACATACACACTCCCCACCCACCCCTCTCCACACACTCTCAACCTTACATACACACTCCCCACCCACCCCTCTTCACACACTCTCAACCTTACATACACACTCCCAACCCATCCTACTCCATACAAACACACACCCTCAACCTTACTACACACACTCCCCACTCACCCCTCTCCACACATACACTCCCCACAACCATCCTCGCCACACACACACTCCCCATCCATCCCTCTCCACACACACACCCTCAACCTTACATACACAAACTCCCCACTCACCCCTCTCCACACATCACTTCCCACCCCACTCCTTGTCACACACACACATTTCCTACCCACCTCCTCACCACACACACACACACACGCTCAACCTTACATACAAACACTCACCACCCACCTCCTCACCAAACACACACTCCCCAACCCCTTCCTCACTACACACATACTTCCCACCCATCCCTCTCTCCACACACATACACACCACAAACCTTCCATACACACACTCCTCAACCCCCTCCTCACCACATACACACTCCCCACCCATCCCCTATCCACACACACACACACACACACACACTCAACCTTACATACACACACTCCCCACCCCACCTATTCACCACATACACACACTCCCCAACCCCCTCCTCACCACACAAACACTCCCCACCCATCCCTCTCTCCACACACACACACATACCCTCACACACTCAACCTTACATACACACACTCCCCATCCCCCTCCTCACCATACACACACTCCCCATCAATCCTTCTCTCCACACACACACACACACCCTCAACCTTACATATACACACTCCCCACTCACCCCTCTCCACACGTACACTCCCCACGAACCCCCTCACCACACACATTCCCCACCTCTTGCTGCACACACACAGCTACCCTCAACCTTAAACACACACTCCCCTACCATCCTTCTCCACACACACTCTCCACCCTCTCCTCTCCTCACACATTCCCCACCCACCCCTCTCTCCACACGCACACTCAACCTTACATACACACACTCCCCACTCACCCCTCTCCACACATATACTCCCCGCCCCTCCCCCCCCCCCCCCACTCCCCATCAACCCCTCTCCACACACCCTCCACACAGATGATCCCCACCTACCACTCTCTCCACACGCACACTCAGCCTTACATACACACACTCCCCACTCACCCCTCTCCACACATATACTCCCCGCCCCTCCCCGCCATACAAACGGAATGTATAAGGTGATAAGCTTATAGATAAATAAATGGAAAAAAACGAGACATTAAAATAAACATCAGTGATTGTTGATATTCACATACTGTGGACTATGTTTTGTTATAACTTTGCCGCTCCGTGGAAAAGTCGTTTATATTTGATCATTCATTTCCTTAGTTGCGAATGAAATCTTTATTTCGAAGCTATCAAATGTACTTTGATAAGAAATCAATATAACTACTTATTGGATATAAACAACAGTTCGTCTTACTGGCTCTTGGACACAAGTACATTGATGCCGTGTTTACCTGTATAGCGACATGACTTTCCATTAACTGAAATTATGTGTCATTTTTAGGTAAAAAAACTAAATTTTAATTAAAGTTTGTCAAAGTTACATCAATGTGTGAGAAAGTTACTATACTTGATAGCTAGAGGCGTACAGTTTGAAATTTTTATCTTCAAAACGATATATTTTTTTTCTGAAATGCCGCTTTATAATCTATAGTAAAAAATGGTTCACCCTGAGCGAGAAATCCGCGCATGCGCGACGCGATATATCCTCAATAGCTGCATATGACATTTTGACCGCGAATATTCAGACCCAGGTACTAATCCTGAATTACTGTTATTATGACCATGATACTATCAGACATTACAGAAGTGTTGACATATTGTATGTACTTTGATTAGGAAAGTCAGCTCCTTTATTAAAATGTCGAGTACAAGAAACGAGCGTATTTTAATGTTCTTCATGTGTATTTGAAATGGAAGGTGATAGTGTACCAGGATAAGTTAGAACTAGGCTAATGGTAAGACATGCACATTCCTTTATGTAAGAAACTACATATTTTCTTTACAGGTTTGTTTTTGAGGTTAGCTTGTTTTTGGGGTTGGCTTATTTTCGAGGTTGGCTTGTTTTTCAGGTTAACATATTTTTGAGGTTGGCTTGTTTTTCAGGTTGGCTTATTTTCGAAGTTGGCTTGTTTTTCAGGTTAACTTATTTTTTAGGTTGGCTTGTTTTTGAGGTTGGCTTATTTTCGAGGTTGGCTTGTTTTTGAGGTTAACTTATTTTTGAGGTTGGCTTGTTTTCAGGTTAACTTATTTTTGAGGTTGGCTTGTTTTTCAGGTTGGCTTATTTTCGAGGTTGGCTTGTTTTTCAGGTTGGCTTATTTTTGAGGTTGGCTTATTTTTGAGGTTGGCTTATTTTCGAGGTTGGTTTGTTTTCGATTTTCTAAGGTACTGGTCCTCCCACAGGATTACTGTTATTTTGTTTATCAAGAAATAGAATTTCTTGCTCTGGAATCGAATGTGAGAAACATTCAGTGTTGGCATAAGTCTTTATCAATATAGAAGAATTCCTAAAGCTTCATATTTCACTGTCAAAGTTGTAATAATCGCATTCAGTTTTTTATTTATTGAAAAATGTGATATTCATGGTGACATTACGATATACTACAATGAGGTAATGATGGTGTTATCTAGATACAGTTTATACACTAAAGCAGGGCCACTTTATGAGGTAATGATGGTGTTATCTCACTTAAGCAGATTCAGTTTATGATGGTGTTATCTCACTAAAGCAGGGCCACTTTATGATGGTGTTATCTCACTAAAGCAGGGCCACTTTATGATGGTGTTATCTCACTAAAGCAGGGCCACTTTATGATGGTGTTATCTCACTAAAGCAGGGCCACTATATGATGGTGTTATCTCACTAAAGCAGGGCCACTTTATGATGTGTTATCTCACTAAAGCAGGGCCACTTTATGATGGTGATTTTTCATCCGGAAACACGTTCAGTATGTAATGGTGACAATCATTATGAGTCAATGCTCAGTCTATATTGTTGCAATATATAGAGCGATAAATCTTTTATCCTTGTCGTTGTACCGTTTTCAGTTCATTGGCTTGGTGAAGCTAAATTATAGGCTAGTGGAAGGTAAATGTGCACTCAAAGTCACCTTGTCTAAATATAGAACATGAACTCCTGATAATGTTTTTTTTACGATTATAGCCAACCGACGTCTTGTGGCCCTTGACAATGACAGAAACGTACAAAGTTCCCCCTGAAGTACACCTTAGCTGTAAGGAAATACTGGAATATTTGGTTAGGTATTACATCAAGAATGATCTCCACTCCAAACAATCTACCCTAAAATCAGCTAAGCGTGACGATGTCATTGTGAACTTCTGTAGTCCCAATCACGCGGCATAGTCATGTGAAGCCGGATTTTTTCAAATGAATCATTTCATTGTAACGCTATAGAGAAGAACTTCGAACTAGACTTCGTGTGTTTATAAACCAATAATCTCCAAGTTCAAAACTAATCTTTTAAAAATTAAACAAGTAAAAATTGATCGATTTTCAAATTGATTGTACTATCTTTTGTGAAAAAAAGAGTATCAGATAACTATTTATATTAATAAGACAAATTTCACGTTTATAATATTTACCACTGGAATATCACCTTATATTTTATACCACTTTTAACGTGAAATATAGATAAAATCATTTTTCGATAGATGACATAAAAAAAGTGAGTAACTTTTCGATTGACCCATATACGTGTTGTGATCCGTCACTATAGTTTCATTCTATTCGCGTCTCACTTGCTGACCAACCTAATCGCGTCTCACTTGCCGACCAAATAGTCCTGGCCAGGCCGATTAGTTCTAGGTCCTTACTACCTACAACATGGAAATGAGTGGGACACAGATAGATATGATAAGATTGCAACTTCACGGCTCAGTGAACAAACACAAAAGCATGATGTCCCTTGAAAGTATACGCTCCGTTTTTTAGTTCGATCCAAAATGATTTGTCTGGTTTTATCTTGTCACAATGGCTTAGGTTTACATGTCTAAAAGTTGGTAGATGCACTTAACACTGTATGCCAAAATGTGCAATTTAATCCTGCAAACAAAGCACACGTTACTTGTTCTGCATATCTAGTATATCATATGTCCCTGTATAACATTGTAAAGGTGTTGAGATGAAAATTAAGGAAACTTCAATCGTAATTACATTTATACCTATATGAATTTTCCGAAACAGAACATTCGTTTTTCCATTTCAACAATGGTCACATCTAGGTCGAATCAGATGATTACAAACCATGCCTCTTTCCAAAATTTGTCCTTCCCTTTGTTAATTCATAATGTATAATTTTGTAACTTAATAATTGGTGTCCTGTATTTTTTTTGCCCGCTTATGCATGGTATTCCTTATCCATTTGTAGTAGTTTAAAAGAACGGAGTTTCAACACAGGGCCGATTGGTGCCTTTAAACCATTATGGCCTATTATAAGCTGTGTGTATGACAGTGAGGTCAGCAGAGCAGAAGTTCAACCTGTCTGGAACGTCGCTGTGTGGTTTACAGGTATGTGCAAGTACAAAAAATATATTTGTTTGTAAATAACCTTTTATCACACCTATATCTAACATTTGCACTGCAAATGACGTACACTTTACCTATGTACCACCGTATTTGTATCTGTATCTGTGAATATATCTGTACTTGGGGGCTCATTCCTCTCGCAGTGTATGAACAACAGGTAACCGCTGGGACCGTTATTTCATCTAATGAGCTTCACGTCAGCTATTACGTATTTTCAGCTAGGCGGCATATCATCCTTACCTCAATGACCTTCCGGACAGTTGAGGTAAGGATGACCTTCAGGACAGTTGAAGTAAAGATGACTTTCTGGACAGTTGAGGTAAGGATGACCTTCCGGACAGTTGAGGTAAGGATGACCTTCTGGACAGTTGAGGTAAGGATGACCTTCAGGACAGTTGAGGTAAGGATGACCTTCCGGACAGCTAATGTCCTTACCTCAAGGATGATCTATCTGCTTTTGTCTCTTGTACAATTATCGTGCCTGTATGTATACGAGAGTCCGACTAGTGACCCTGCCAGAATTCTAGTGTTTTTCTTACATTTTCAAATTCATCGTTACAGTAACCTGTGCAATACTTTTTATATATTTGTTGAAAATATGTAGCATTTCTCTTAATAGTTATGTTTAATAACAAGTTATTCACGTCCCGTAAAAGTAAAAATATGATTTAAGCGACATTCAAAGGGTTCTTTGTTTTTAGCTCTAGGTCAAAATGCATACATGTAGCTTCAATATATCATAAAAAATATTGTCACTCAGTTGTTCGGGAATAAATAGACCCGAAAGTCCGATCTTGTAGAAATAAATGCTTCTAGTCTGACGATGTATTATCTCCGTTTTCGAGATATTGTCAATTTATATCAAAACTTGGTTATAAAGGAGAATGACTGAGCTTCATTCATGTAGAAAAAATACATATGTACATCGAAATATAAACGGCATGAATCAGACATTAAAATATACGTAAACATATTTGATAGCAGCTATGAAGAACTTAGACATAACCCCATCTGAAAACAATCTACCTGCAAAACTTATGTAAATCACGTAAGATCAATAAAAACAGAAGTACTAGCAAATATGTTACACACAGAAACACTACTAGCAAACTGACTTAGTCTCGCCTCTATATCATATTGCGTGCAAAATTGATTCTGCTGTCAAAAGGATTGTTTTAATATCGATAACGTAAATGGTCAGTTTTACTCTTTTCAAATGTATTGAGATAATTTTTGCAGTTTTGACTTACAAGAGCAATAAGTGCTGCATTTGATACCATGTTAAGTGAACACAACCATACAACTCACCACGGTTACTGACTTCAATCAATAATTAACTTCCCTATATAAAGCGTTGATCGAACGAAATACGCCAGTAGAAAACGGCAAGCTCAGTAGACTGCATCGCCCAACAAGTATTCATTTTCTCAACATTCATTCAAATGTCAGGTCTTTGGACTTAAAAGTGGGTCTAAATGCAATTATTTTAATCCATTTAAATATCACTGGCATCACTCAAGCCTTACGAATATGACAACCAATTTGATCCCTATGACTTTAAATATGTGTCAAGGTAATTTTTATTTATAAAAATCAATCGCCTTGAGGCCAATCTAGTAATTTGAGTGCTTATACAGAGAAGGTCCTTATAATGTTTAGCTTCCTTCACCGACACATATCGCCAGAAACGATTTCCAAACCTTTGGTTTACACAGAAAACGTCGTTTGGCGTTTTAACTTATTTGATCCCTGTGACTTTTGATATGGATTAAAGCTCATTTCCTTTAGTTCACAACCCAAAAGTAAAAGATCTCCTTAGCCTTTCAGTTTTCTCACACTTTGTATCACGTAACGTGCAGTAACAAATATAACGGTTCTAGATTTACAAGCTAAGACATATCTCATAACCAGAGTAGATAAAGCTACGTAAATCACAAAGGAAACAAGATAATATAGCTGACAATACTTCGACACGTGGTCGTAGTGAAGAAATATACTAAGGAGACGAGCATAAATGACATAATTGTACCTATGCAATTGACGGTCCAGCTCGTGTACCCATTAAACGGGGTTTCCCCATTCCAATTAGTGACACATAAATTTAAAGATGTCATCGACACAAAACTAGTGATTATAAATCTCATAATACTTTTCAAAGTTCAAGGTTGATTTGGAGACTCAGATGAAATATTGTGGGTGATAGCAGGTCGACAACAATACAGTCATACCATAATTTGGAAGTCAGTAGTACAAAAATGATAAGTATTACAGTCCAGATCTGTATCACAGATAATATTACCTTCATTGTACAATACAATCAATTCTATATTACCTTCATTGTACTCATTGTACAATACAATCAATTCTATATTACCTTCATCGTACAATACAATCAATTCTATATTACCTTCATTGTACAATAAAATCAATTCTATATTACCTTCATTGTACAATACAATCAATTCTATATTACATTCATTGTACAATACAATCTTTGCTGTATTACTTTCATCGTACAATACAATCAATTCTATATTACCTTCATTGTACAATACAATCAATTCTAAATTAATTTTATTTTCAATTTTGTCGAACATGATTTCCTTCAGCTGATATTTTCCCCTGATGTAATACGACATACGGTTAAACAAAAGTTGTTCGCTTTCCATTATTGATTTGAGGACAATTACGTTCATGATTTAAATTGTTTTTGTCTATTCGAAATTAATACGATCTTCACTAGATTTAAGCCGTCCTCACTAATTCTGCAAAAAATAATTATACACATGCTCTTATTGAGAGTTGCAGCAGCTATCACTTTTGAAATTTTTATTTGTCGATTAAACAGATTTTGAAAAGACTGTTAATGTCTGTATTTTCTATTCGCAGATCCTACCTCTGCAATGGCAGTATATGAACCGATAAACCACAACTAAGATGTAGATCTGGGTTGTACATTTGAGTCAACCATGTCGACGATCGCACACAACGCAATCTGTGTCAGTGATGTTCGAGAAATCATATCTCCCCGGAATCTCTTTTTCGTGGTCACATTGGCGCAGTTCACACTGCTCTGTGGTGTCGTTGTGTTTAAAACCTCGAGTTTATATACCAGGAATGAACGATATAATGTAGAGACTACTAAACTTTACTTAGTGGAAGCACGTTCCTATACTGTTCCCTACATCAACAGGACCTTGTCGAATCAGACTCGCCTGCTCAAAACGACATCAGATGCTGGTGGCATTGTGCATCATATCACAGAAGAGAACCATGATATCAAGATGTCCTATCGTTCCACCTTATCTAAGTAAATTTTATATCAATATCTGTTTACGCATAAATATAAATTACATTATTAATTATTGACTAAATTTTACCAATTTTTTGCGAAATATTTAAGGGTCATGATTTTTTTAATGTTTGATCTTGTCCATGAATGTTTTACATTGCAAGAAAAGATAAAGAAAAACATTTTATAATAGCTTTTCGTCCTTAACTAAAAAGTCTTACCTAAAATTATCACAGCTTTATTATCGCCCGTGTCAATATGACGTCATTATTGAACGGTATTCATGACGTCACAATCCGTATCTATGTAAATATGTAAAACATCTGAAGAAGAAAGGAAAGCGCTTTTGTTTTACATCATGTGTTTTCCAGTGTTTCAACTTTTTTCTGTATTTAATGGGCACGGAGAATTCACCACATTTTCGATATAAATATATATATCTCATTTATCCCTTGAGTGTTTGGTTTTCTTTAATACACTCAAGTTTTGAATCTATTTGCTATCAGCATTTTAATATATCTCTGGCTAGAATAATTCATTTAACCTTTATATTGTCGTCCCAATGTATTGCCATCCTAACTGTTCTCACTCTCACTACATGTAGTGTATTGAATAGGTGCATGTAATAATATCTTTCTGTCATATTTTCCATGACTTAGGTAGGATATTCCCTGTTTTATCTAAAGTGATAAACCCTGTCTTTAGATTATTGAATTCTTAAGACCCATAATTTGCTATATTTTATAATTATCTTTTCTCATCGTTTCTTGTCTTTTTGATTCCGTTCTTGTCAGCTAATTTCTTATTCGAATGAAATACATCTTTGTGAACGTGGCTACTGCTGTACAACGTATTATAAAAATAAACATGTGGATAATTTATATATATCGGGAACTCATTTAAATATGCTAGAATTGGTAATTGTTATCAACCATTAAGTTTACTATTTAGGGGGAAGCATTAATGTAGATGTGACAGAGTATGACGAGGACACGTTGGAAAGAAAACTGCCCTTAGTTAAGAAAGGAGGAGTGTACAGACCATCGTCTTGCAGATCTCGTCACAAAGTGGCTATCATCATTCCTTATCGCAACCGAAAGAGACATCTTCGGATATTGTTGAATAATCTCCATGCCTTGCTTCAGAGGCAGCAGCTTGATTATAGAATATTTGTCATCGAATTGGTAAGTATCGTGCATTATGGTCGTGAGACATATAGAAGAAAAACAGTTAATCACCAAATGACGTGCTGAAAATTTCATAGCACAGCTAAGAATGTTATCTTAGAGTGGCATCCCGTGTCTCAATGACGAGTTTTAGGATGACAACATCATTTGATAATACTTTACCTAATTCCTTTTTATTGAAAGTTTGCTTCATGTACAATTTCTAATGAAGGACAACATGAGGAATACAATCAAACAAACATTACAAATTTTTAACTGGTTATGCTTTACGAAATTCTATTCACGGACATACTAGAAAACCAAAATAAAATGTGAAAGGTTTCGTTTTTAGAAACATTGTGTACACATATATATATTACGAAACATGCACACAACAGTTAGTGCTCATTTCGCTGAACTGAAATACCAATTTATAGTCAAATTTAACATCACAAATACCCCACATAGAAGTGCCACTTCCTTTACTAACAGTATAAACTTAATTTAAAATACTTAATATCACCATCATTCTTCAGTTCATGCTCAGAGTTCCTTACTTATTTAAATGATCTTCCTGCAGTGCTCGTTAAGAAGTTGGTAAAGTTGCCCAATACTTAATAAAAACAACGATGTTCTTCTTAATTGAGGTTTTATTCGCCAGAAGCATTAACAGCACAACACATGGTACAACAGACGAACAAATGCTATGCACTAGAAGAAATAGCCTGGCGTAAACCGGCAAAGCTAATGTACAAAAAAGGAATTAGTCCCGCGGTTAAGAGAGACAATACTTCACTTTGTGGAGAAAGCATGAAACTTTTTTGTGGGTAGTGCATCCCAATGCAAGTCATTTTCGATTAGGACCCACTTCAGAAACGCCCCCTGGTGGCGGCTATCTTGAAAATCAATATGGCGGCAAACTGGTGTATGTATTCCTCAATAACTCCGTTGTTAAGGCAAATACACAATTATTTTCAATGGCTACCTCCATGTTTTCATGGTCAGAGAATCATATGAAACTACTCGTGACTTCCTGTTGTGTCCGCCATCTTGGATTGCAAGATGGCTGCCACTGTAACCGATTTTTGCCATATTTTATAGACTGTTGAAAATAAAATAATCACAAGGAAGAGTTGGGACTAACACTGACCGTCACAACCGCAAAGTGCTGTGCACTTTAAGTTGGCTTTGAAACATTTGCAGTTTCTTTTACAAGCCATTTTGCAGTGGCAACACAACAACTCGTAGCAGGCTTTGGCAGCTTCTTCCAATCTTGTCCATACAGGAGTCCATCGGCCATCCTGCATCTTCCAGCCCCAGTCTGAGGGGGAAGGACTGTTGGATCGGTGGTCAATGCATGTCCCCAGATGTACCCTGCTTGATAAGCAGCCCGTTGAATGTGTTCCTTTAAGGCAGCTGAAGTTGGTGGTATGTTTTCTATTTCTCGACATCGTTTTGTGAACAAGTACATCCTAGCCTCATCTACCCCTTCCAAAGCACTTGTCTGGTCGTACAACAAAACCACGAAACGCTCAAGCCCTGCAATGAGATCCTGTGTAACCTCTTGGGGTTGTGTTGACAGTTTCACGAACGTATCCGTTACTTCAGGGTAACTCTCCCACGTTTGCCACGCAGATTTCTTTCCACGGTTTAAAAAGAAGGACACATTGTCACATCCAGTAAATGCATGGAAGAAACACAATCCTGTGGATTTAGCTGGACCAAGATCAGCTGCGATTTCATGTATTGCAATCCATCTGAATTTCTGTCCAGTTCCAAAGGCCAGCCACAATTCCTGAAGGCCGGTCGAGTAGAAACAAGATGTTGCAATGCCACATCTGTATCAACACTACGAATCATGACTTTTTCATGTCCACATAGGGCAGCATGCCTGGCGTGCAAGAGAACTCGCGTAGCAGCCTCCTCCTGTGAACATGGTTCAAGGCCCTGATTGTCCATATCCTTGACAGAAGAGATGACACTTAGTTCGGTGGTAGATATAATGACTTTGCCTTGTGAATTGCATCCAGTTCAACTTTGGGCTAGAAACCTAAACAGTTGTTTCCTATTTTCATCATTCCGAAGAAAACCTGGCCAGTTCGTTGGTATCCTTGTATCAGTAACAACACAGCGTCGTGTGCTTTCACCTCGTTTTCCCCTTGTATGCGCCTGAAGACTTTCGTGGAGATACACATCCCATACGATGTCCACTCGTGAGGTACCAGGTCTGTTAAGACGGCGTAAAATAATTCATAGAAAGGCCAAGCAAACAAGTTATCATTTTTGCTGGAAAAGATTTCGCATGTTAAGGAATGAAACAATTGACTCGATCCGTGAGGCAAAAGGAAATTATATTAAAAATCTTGAAAACTGTCCAAATGAAAGTAAGATCCCTCCTGACAAGTGGTGGAAGATAACAAAATCTATTACTAACTTCATCAATAAATCCTCTTCTATTCCATCTCTTGAATCTGACTCAACCACCATCCTCTTGACAAAGCAGAAATCCTTAACTATCATTTTACTAATATCTCTACATCTTCACCCGACCTTGAGTTACCTCAGTCAGCCCATACACACTCGCTAACATTCATATTACTGAACAATATGTAGCTGTATATATTCTTGATATAAACAAACCGCCTGGTCCTGATGGTATTGTTCCAAAACTCCAAACTCACTGATATCACCTCTCAGTCGCTAACCTAATAAATAAAACCTAGAATCTGGAGTAAAACCTAATAGTTGGAGACACTCCAACATATATGACATATATAAATGGTTCATCAAATAGTGTTTTTAATTATAGACCAATCTCTATAACCTAATGTCTCAGTAAAGCAATGGGGGAAATGTTTCTAACTAACTGTAAAACTATCTATCTTAACCAAACACCAGGCCGGTGATTCTACTGTTCATCACCTTCTATTTACATATAATGACACTGTTGATAACACGTACAGGGGTAAGGAGCTCAGATTTATATTTTGTGACACCTCCCTTTACGTAATTATAGATGATAACACAGCACAGGCTCTATCATCTTATCTCTCCAACATTAGTGAAAGGTCGAGTATTTGACACATCAAGTTTAACCATGAAAAATCAAATCAGTAATATGTTTTAGAGAAAATAACAAATTTAACCCCAATTAACTTCCTAAAACAACTAAATCACTGACACAACACTACACAAACACCTAGAACTTACATTCAAGCATGATGCAACTTGGAAACCGCACATTCTTAATATACAGGGAAATGTTAACTATGGGTTAGACAATCTTCGTTATATTAGGATTAAAGTTAAACGTAAATAATGAATTAAAACTTACACAGCATTTATTAGGGCAATTTTAGAATATGCAGACAAAATATGGGATATATGCAATAACCAGTCAGAAGAATTTATTCAATTAGTAGAAATAGCAGGATTAATAACAAGACTTCGATCTGGAACATCCTACAATAAACTTTATAAAGAACTTGGCTCGGAAACTCTGTCAGAAGAAATAAACATAAACACATAACAATATACAAAATATTGTATGGACCGTCACCTTAGTACTTACTAGATGTCTAAAATCCTTTTGTTAGCAATCTTAACAAGGAACATCTATTCCCTCAGACAATCAAGACTATTCAATCCACTATTATACAGAACTTATGATTACTTTGACAGTTTCTTCTTTCTCATGTGTCAGTATTGTTAATCGTGCAACATATTCAGTCATCAAACTGCACTAGATGAACCATAATTTTTAATTTCATACTCTTCTCCGACTGAAACCTCGCAAACTGTTCTAAAAATAAAACATTCTGAAATACAAAGAGGAAGCAATTATCTGACATCACTTATAAATGGAAGTCTCAATTGAACATAAAATACGCACATCCCACTCAAATTTAAACTCAACACATAATTTGTTATCATTCTGACGTACGCTATTCCAGCAGGATATTACGACAACATTAAGCATATCCATACAATATGTATATAATATATATATAAACATAATCTGAAATGGGAACCTCATTATCCAACAACATCCGAAAGTATTCTACTAAAAAATTCACATACCCTTCTCTAACCCAAGTTTTCCTTTATTCCACGTTATCAAAGATAATAATTTTCACGAGTATCAACCTGACATCATCAGTTTCATTCTGGTGGATAATGCAACTGAAAACAAAACTCTGAACGTCCTAAATTTGAAGGTTGAAATAATAAAAGAAAGTAATACATTCTCTTTTTCATTTTTTTGTGCGTTGACTTTATTATATGCCTTTTTGTCTTCTTTTTTTAAAAAACAACAGGCCCCAAATGTTGACTTCAACAGGGCGTTATGCATGAATATTGGATTCCTGGAGGCGACAAAGAAATACGGTTACCAGTGTCTTATCTTCCATGACGTGGACTTAATTCCGGAAAACGATAATAACATGTACTCCTGCCCCGAGAATCCCAGACACATGTCCGTAGCTGTTGACAAATTCAACTATCAGTGAGTACGACAAAGTATAGCATATCCTTGTACAGAGTCGATTTAAAAACAAATCGGCAATATTGCAATTCAAACAAGATATCAATGAAACGAAGGTGAAATATGAAGAAAACATAACACCGAGATCATCGATTGATCAGGTGTTCCAGAAAGTAAACTTGCACTCTCAAAATTATATCCGACTATATAAAATCAAAAGTTCTAGTGAAACCAAGAAGCACAGAAAGCATTTAAAATAATTTCGAACGTGATTTTCTTGAATTATTTATCTTCCTTCATCTCTCATAAGTCCGAAAGTTGAAAGATTATTACGACTTCGCTGTAGCAAATATAAATCGGAAGTCAAAGTTAAATTCAAATTCATGCTTGTAATATTACAACTAATGAGGAGTAGCTAACGATTCAAAACTTTACAGATGGGCGTATCCTGACGATTCAAAACTTTAGAAATGGGCGTATGCTTACTATTCAAAACTTTACAGATGGGCGTATCCTTACTATTCAAAACTATACAGATGGGCGTATCCTTACGCTTGAATACCCTACACATCACCACGATCACGTGTCAGCCTCTGTTATAAATTGCTCAAAATCATTGTAGAAATAACCTTTATTATACATTGTACATTATACACAATTCCATTAACCATGATAAATTAACAATAATTTGACATTGTAGGCGATAGGATTTTCTTCACAGCATTGTACTTTTTTCTATGAAAGCTTTTTAACATGAAGCTCTGTTACATTTAAATGACCTAAGATTTTGATAGGAAATTAAACTATTTCAAACAAAGCCAAACACTAGCTATTAAAGGTTGGTGTGCTTTACCAAATTTTGGTTACTTGTCCTGATAGCAACAAAAACTGATAAAGACTTAAACTTCACCTGCAAAATCAGTTTTTTTTTTACCAGATTACCATATATGAGCATCTTTGGTGGTGTAACTGCAATGACAAAGGAACATTTTGAAACGGTGAATGGCTATTCAAACAAATTCTTTGGATGGGGTGGGGAGGATGATGATATATATAACAGGTAAGGTTATTTCATTACTCTTCTGTAGCAAGCGTGCCTCTTGTATTTTCATACAATTTTGATATCATATGCAAAAGGATATTAATAAATGTTCATTACATGTATAACAGTTTAATCTTACCTGATCCTGATCGTACCTCAACACGAAGACTTTTTTTATCTGTTTTGCCTAAGTTTTTTCTTTATTTTACCAGAATCCGGAATTTGGGAGTGTCTATCACGCGCTATACACCGGACGTTAGCTCCTATCGCATGCTCAATCATCATTCGGACCCAAACTTAAACGAAAAAAGGTAACTGTAGCAAAACGTTTTTTTAAAAATGCCATTTAGTTACGCTTAAAATAATAATAAAAAAAACCTTTATTGAACCATTTCATTGAGAATAAGATTAACATTTAGATATTTTAAACGTTTTTTTTTTTAAAAGAAAATTTGCACTTGTTTGTAGATTTAGCTTGCTTGGAATAAGTCTTGAGCGATGGAAAGAAGACGGATTGAATACAATTAAGTATGAGGTATTGCAGACAGTAGAGAGACGCCTGTATACATACATACTGGCCGATATTAACCAAGACGACTGGGCATATCAACCCTGGACAAAAGGAAGCGGCAATGTGTCACGTGATGATGCCTTAGACTCTGCAGTAGAGGAATTGTTGATGGAGAAAGCCAAATACTTACTGAAGAAATCAACACTTGATGATGCATTGATACATAAACTTAAACAGGAATTTCGTTATCTTAATACATCTCATGTTACCATGGGAAACGTGGCTTTGGTCATAAGAAAACTATTCCCTGTAAATTCTGCGAAGCCAGTGGTAATACCACAATTGATGAAATATTCAAGTAGCACCACAAACCAAACAAAAGACAATTCCTATCACATACACCATCATGTCACCAGAAATCAAAGTAAAGGACCAGATGACCACATGCACAAGCAAGAAAGACGGAATTCCTTCCAACCTGCAAATATACTACTGGAAAACCAGAAATCCGTCCAGTTCGCTGAGCCGCCACGAGAAAGTCATAATCAAGTATATAAACAAATTGCAGCTAAGCAACAACAAAAACAAGATGTAAAAACTACCACCGCACTACAGGAATCCCAGCAACACCCCTATGAACCACAACGAGCACAAGTTATTAATAGAATTGAACGCCAGAATACACAATCGGAGCTCCAAAATCCTGTACAAAACGCACAGACACAAGAAAAGAATAATGCCTCCCATTCGGCACTTAATGAGCGAGAGGAGGCACGGATGCTATTTAGAAATATGGATCGAAGCATTCAAAATGAAGCGAATCAAGGTCATGGTACGATTGCAGGAGCTAATAAACTGTTATTAGTAAACATGAAATCTCCAGAGACCAAAAAGCGTTTTCTCACGGGATGGAGAAACTTTAGACAGAATAACTTGCGTAAGCAACACAACAAGAATTTGAATATTAGCCAGATACAATTCGTAAATCATGCGCAGCAATTACAGAAACAGAGGGGAGAGTATCAATCCATGTCACTTCAAAACAACACCAACGTCCAAATTGTCAAACTTAATACTGCACATAAAAGTCAATGGAATGATGAACCAAGACTTCAGATTCACATGAACCACAACGACACAGTCGATAAAAAAGGAAAACAATCTTTAGAAGCCAAACCGCAACATTATCACATCTTTAAAAAATCAAAACCTTGAAATCCTTGAGAACACCACATAGTTAGGTAACACTCCATGCCGTATTGATATTTCTACGTGGTGGGTGTGGTATAATTATCTTTCAAAAGACGGTTTTGGAATACATAAAACGAATCTAGAATGAAATCAGAACCAGAAAACGATTTCTATTTGGACATGTGTTCCCATTCAATCATGTTTTTTTCATTGGGGAATTTTTTTTTACAGCATTCCCTACTATTAACAGGAAAACGCACCCCTATCGACTTATTGATTTGGTCGTCATTTTGTACATCACAGTTACTTTATACAGGGGTACATACTTACATCACTTTTAGGGGAAATGTTCTGTTGATAAACATGACCTAAAAAGAAGAAAGAAATATATATTTGAGAGGGAATGTGTGTGGCTGTAAGAGGAAATGAGTGTGTCTGTGAGTGGAAAAGTCTGGTTGTCAGAGGGTAAGTGTTGTTTTGAGAGGAAAAGGGTGTGTGGTTTTGAGAGGGCAATTGGGTGTGTTTTTGAGAAAGAAGAGAAGGCGTTCGTGGTTTTGAGAGGAAAAGATTACATAGTTGTGAGACGGAGAGCGTCTGTCTGGTTGTAAAGATATGAATATTATGTAAAATGAACTAAATAAACTTATTTCTCACCGTTATCAATTCTAAAATGTACAAATTGAGATCAGATAACCAAACCTTTTTATTACAATGATTAAGAGATGTGGTGACTGTAGAACCTAAGCTATCATGCCAATCCTTTCTTGTTAATAGAAAATTCTGATGCCAGACCAGCTTGTATATCATGCCAGTTCTTTCTTGTTTATAGAAAATTCTGAAACCAGGCCAGCTTGTATATCATTATGTCCAGTGATACACGTGGCTCTGAGACGTTTGTGTAACATAGTTATGTATTCTTGTAGGAAAATTTTGTGATTGTAACACGGAAAACATATCGTACTGTTACACAAATTTGCATGGTATTAATGTTGAAATATACACGCTTTATACCAAAATATTGGCATTAAATTCGTTTCTCTTTCAAAAATTATCAGTCTCATATAGAAATGTGATTATTGTTAACCACAGCTTTTATTTGCCAATCTCTTTTAATCCTCATTTATTATAATCGTACCAGCACCTGCTGTTTTCAATACTCATATATTGTAGATTATTTTGTAAATATACGGATACTTGTACCTTTTTACGATTCATAAAATAAGAAAAGTCATTATTTTCGATGTAACATCAATGGTAGTGGTCTCAAAATAGATGTAGACCTTTAACACGATATTTACAAAAGAATTTTTTTAATACGCACCTCACGATTTATGTACACGTCACCATGTTTACGCTTTTATATTTGTTTTGTGGATTGTACTTCTGGAAATAACGAGAAAAAAAATTAAATCTCTCGCTCCTTTTTATTTTCTTTGTTCCCTCTTTTTATTGAATGATTACTGTCAAATTCAGTAGCACTTAGCCTGTTCTGAAAAAAGATACATGAAAGGTATAGATGTTTTCAACTGAGGTTATCGTTGTTAAATGCGTGGTTAGTATCTAATTTGGTGTAGTACGTCATAACGGGATAGTTTTAAATAAAGTTTTAAACCGACTCTGAGAAACGGCTCTTTATGGCATATTTTATTCTCTTTAGATTAAATCCTAGTTATATCAATATAAGCGCTGTAAAATATCAGACAAGTTTCCCTCTCCCAGGAAAGAGTGATAGTTTCGGTGCCATATTTGAGTAAATCGTGAGCATTGCGGAATTCACTATTTTTGCTTTCTTGTTTCCAATGGATCAATATTTAACTATGACCACAATACATCAAGAGTGTTTACGTTTTATCACTTAAACTTAACATGACATTTTGCTAGTTTGCTTTTACCTTGTGCTTAAAGATTACTATATTATCTAAGCTGGACAGGTTAGACAGATAATTACACGTAATATTGTTGTGTTTCACGATATACTTGTCAGCATGACGCCACATTTAAGCAATAAACACTTCAGGATGTTCTTTTAGACTAGCGATGATAGCTCAATATATTAACTGGATTAATGAACTTTCCTGTATTTTAGTTTTGTTTGTTCTATATCTGTGTTTAAATGTGTCCCATGCTTTAAACCGGAAATTAGATCGAAAGGAAATCTAATGTTTTTATTAATTGGTTGAAATCTACTTTTTTCGAGAAGGTTTTATAATAGCATGTCTTAAAGTTTCAAAATATGTGTGTTTTTGTATTTTTTTTTTCAACGTGAATGCTTTTATGAATATTTTGTAGGTCAGGGTAGATTTTTAAATAGATTGATCTGTTTATCTCTACTCAAGAATAGAAATTATATTATTGTATTCTATACCATACAAAAGACTTCACCAAACACATATCATCAGCCTTATTTTGGCGAGGATGGGAGTGCTTCTAGCTCTCGAAAGCCAGAAATTAAGTAAATTAAATATTATTTAAATCAAACATTAATTAAATCTTAATATTTAATATAGTCTTAGGTTTTTCGTTATGGGAGTAGTTTCAGGAAAGCGTCACAAATGCAGGCATTAGTTTTCTACCAGGCAAAACTGATATAAAGCCGATGACCCCTCTTTAATGAGACTACAAGGGGGGCCTCAGCAAAACAGACTAATCCCTTTTTGACCGAAGCATGGACTTGCCAAAATGGCAGCAAGAAAGACCAGTTCCCACAAGCTAATATGTTAGAATGTGACCGCCGTCAGGAACACATCTGTATTGCTTGTCTTGGTATCAGGAATAAGGAATACGAGCTTCTCGCAAAATGGAACTCAATGTCGGTCTTCACTCCGTGCAGTCTCTACTGATAAAACTAAAAAAATCAAACAGAGAAACTTGTAGAAAAGTAATGCGCAGAGATCATGGTTAACTTTGAAGAAAGGATTATAGATCTGGAAACGAGATTAGCGGAACTTAAATCAAATGGTAGTAAAGACAATGTAGGGCACATCATACAAGAAGAAGTGAAAAAATGCCACTACCTCATCTCTTTCGGCTGTAACCTGAAACAGCTGCGCTTTTTGGACTAAGATGAGTTCAGAGGTGAGACAGTAAGAACACCAAAAAGCAGTAACCTCAATACTGAAAACCGAAAGAGCAGAAAGACCAATACTTGTTTTCTTCTGGATGCTTGCAAAATCAAAAGAGTCTCTTTCAAATACATCTAGTCTTAAAGAGAAGAGTTTCAGAACGGTACATAGCCCGAGAGATTGGAAGACGATTTTTTGGAAGAAGAAGGTATGTCTATCTGTATGCATATCAGTCTATTTATTCTCGTTCATAAGCGTGCTTTGTACGTCTCTATACGCCTCTTCCTTGACTGTGTCTCTTCGCCGTCTCTCTTCTGTATGGGTCTGTGTTTTTCTGGGTGTCTCTATTTGTATGTGTCTCTACGCCTCCTCCTTGTCCGTGTCTCTTAGCCGTCCCTCTTCTGTATGGGTCTGTGTGTTTCTTGGGGTTTCTATTTGTATGTGTCTCTAAGCCTCCTTCTTGTCCGTGTCTCTTAGCCGTCTCTCTTCTGTATGGGTCTGTGTGTTTCTGGGCGTCTCTATTTGTATGTGTCTCTACGCCTCCTACTTGTCCGTGTTTCTTAGCCGTCTCTCTTCTGTATGGATCTGTGTTTTTCTTGGTGTCTCTATTTGTATGTTTTTCTAAGCCTCCTTCTTGTCCGTGTCTCTTAGCCGTCCCTATTCTGTATGGGTCTGTGTGTTTCTGGGTGTCTCTATTTGTATGTGTCTCTACGCCTCCTCCTTGTCCGTGTCTCTTAGCCGTCCCTCTTCTGTATGGGTCTCTGTGTTTTTAGGTGTCTCCTCCTTGTCTGTGTCTCTTAGCCGTCCCTATTCTGTATGGGTCTCTGTGTTTTTGGGTGCCTCTATTTGTATGTGTCTCTAAGCCTCCTTGTCTGTGTCTCTTAGCCGTCCCTATTCTGTATGGATCTCTGTGTTTTTGGGTGCCTCTATTTGTATGCCACTTCATGTCTTTTTTGATGGGGCTTTTAAATTGCATCGTACTGAAGATTTGGGGCCTATCAGGACACATGTAAGGATTCGTTATTAGCCAAAAAGAGATTCCGAAATAGAATTATTTAAATGATTGAATTCATGCTCAACTGTAGTTTAAGTTGGATACACCACGGGCGTACTGTTGTATAGATCGACATTTCATTTTGTACATTGAGTAATAACGGTAACGAAACTCTCCGATGAAGCGTTATGGTGTGTTATACAGAAATCTGGGAAACAATGCTGATGTTTGCAAGTTTAAACCCAAAATATCATGATTAAATATATTTTATAATGCCGTTTTGAACTGACCCGAATCGCTGCAAAACGCGGCAAATCAGCGACTTTTAGGCATTTAGAAAGAAGTGTGTTTTATTTTAGTGATGAAATAACCACATACATCTTTGGGTTAGGATATATTTTAGATAATCCTGACACAGTATTTGGAATACGAAATTCAAACCCAGAAACAAGACTATCCCTTCACACAGTATCACAAAAACACTGACATACACGAGAAAAGTATTGATAACGTCACTCATGCTAGTAGAAATATAGCTGTTGAAGAGATTAAAAGTGTGGAAACAGAATTGAGAAGATATTTTCATACTTTAACATTTGTATTTTTCTCAGATAAAATGCCAGATTCAACTGAAATATCAGAAATAAAATATAACCCCAGTGTCTTAAAATCCTTGCTGTACCCCAAAACCAAACAAATCAGTGAAGGTCTGTCAAATTTCTGCCACAGCTGGTGATATTGACAGGAGACGAGGACTATTGTCAGTATGTCACGAATTAAAGGTATTTTTTCTATTGAGTTTTTCTTTATATAGGCGGTGTGAAGTTACAAGGCTGGGCAAGTAGTATAATCACACCCTTGAAGTAACGCGTACAAAAACGTATCATAGGTCAAGATCTCTTCAAGGTATAGTGAGTTAGGTCTTTATAGCATTCCATTAAAATGAGTTTGAGAAAAATAAACCTTAA